ATACATCTTTGTAGAGTGTTGTGAATATATCCGTAGAGTACATTCCTGGCAGAATTAGTAAGTCATGCAATAATTGCATTTTTAGTTTTCATGGGTTTCCTCAAATAGATCTGCATATTCACTTTCACCAAGTGTATATGAGAGTGTCTGTGTCTCACAACCTTGCTAGCCCTGGATATTCATTCATTCATTCATTTATTCATTCATTCATTCTTCCTTTCTCTTTGTCTCTATCTCTGTCTTGCTGGGGGTTTGCCAATTACACTAGAGGAATTTTTTTATTAGACACTTGTTTTCATTAATTTCTGCTATCTTATTGTTTTCTTCCTCCTATTTGGAGAGGGTTTTTTTTTTTTTGGCATTTTTTTCTATCTTCTTGAGATAGATAATTGAATCATTTACTTTTTTCTCTTTTTTTCTAATACATGCTCTTAAGGCTGTAATTTTCCTTCTAGCCTAACTTTGCTTTATGCCACAAGTTTTGATAAGTCATGTTTTCATCATCATTCAGTTCAACAAAGAGAAAATCTTAAAATTAGAAGAAAAAGGCACATTAGCTTCAGAGTAATTCTACATATATTTTAAACCCACAAGATAGTATTATTTTTCCTTTTTACACTCACTATTTTATTTAGCTTTACCCACATAATTACCCTTTTCATTCTTCTTCTTTCCTGTATTTCTGTGCTTTAGTACCAGATCATTCTGCTTGAAGAATCTCTTGAGTATTTTTTTAAATATTTATTTATTTGAGAGAGGGAGGGAGAGAGAGAGAGAGCATGGGCAGAGGGAGAGGGAAAGAGGAAGCAGACTCCCCGCTGAGCAACCCGACATGGGGCTCAATCCCAGGACCCTGAGATCACAGCCCAAGCCAAAACCAAGGGTCAGATGCTTAACCAACTGAGCCACCCAGGTGCCCCAGTATTTATTCTGATGCAACTTTGCTGATGACAGATTTCCTCAGTTTTCATTTTTCTGAAATTATTTTTTTATTTTGCCTTCGATGTTGAAGGATATTTTTGCTGGGTATGAAATTCTAGGTTGATGATTGCTTTCTTAAAGCACTTTTAAAGTGTCATCATGTTATGTCATGACTTGCATCATTCCTGTTTCTGATGTCTCTCTTGTTTTGTCATAGTCTTGCCTCTTGATGTGTCTTGTAATTTTTTACTGAATGCTACACATTTTAATGGAAAATTGTAGAAGTTCTTAATGGTGTTATCTTCCCCCAAATAGGATTTACTTTTGTCTTTGGCAGTCTGTTAGATTAGAGAAGATTGCCTACGTCCAATCATGAATTTGAGCTGATTTGAAATAGGCTTCAGTCTTGTAGAAGCTGATCTCTTGTTCACCTGCAGTGTAAGACTTCCCGGGTCCTCTGTTTGAAAGATTGGGCTGTTTATCAGACCTGCCCTTCTTGGTGAGGCCTGAACACTGATTATTGACTTTGTAGCATCATGAGTCTGCTGTAAGAGCCTCATAGCCTTTTTCTCAGCCTCTCAGACCCACACTCTGTATGAACTGGCACGTGCTTCACGTGGAAAAGTTGTGCAACATGTTGGGCTTATTTGTGTCAATGCCTTTCCTTTATCTTCAGATCTTGACCTCTAAAATCTTGGTTTCTTTGATTCCTCTACAATGTGTTCAAACAGATATTTTTCATTTTATAAAGCTGTTCTAGCTATGTTCACAGGAAGGTTAGTCTAATACAAGCTAGTTCATCATAGCCAGAAATGGAAGTCTAAAATCTCTTTTTAATTTCATTTACTGATTTGTTTTATTTTTTCATCAACATGAATCTGTTTTAATTGTTGTAGCTAACAGTAAGCATAAATATCTGGTAGGTCCCACTCATCTATCTTTATATTTAAAAGGAATTTTCAGGGGTGCCTGTGTGGCTCAGTCAGTTAAGCATCTGACTCTTGATTTTGGCTCAGGTCATGATCTCAGGGTTTTGAGATCAAGCCCTGTGTCAGGCTCTGCATGGGGGGCATGGAGCCTCTTAAGGTTCTCTCGCTCTCTCTCTTTCTCTCTTTCTCTCTCTCTCCCCACTCCCTCCCTCTCTCCTTCTCTAAACAAACAAACAAAAAGAACAAAAAACCTTAAAAGGATTTTTCAGGCTCCTTTCAAATGCTTTTTATTATTCTAACCCCAGATTCATATGTCATTTTTCCAAAGAGAACTCATTGCATTGAATTCATCTATTAATTTAGAGAGCGTTGACATTTTTATGACATTGTCTCCCTACCTAAAAACATGATATATTATTTTATTTATGAGTCTTCTTTTATGTTTATTGATAGTTTGAAGGGTTTCTTTATATAGCACTAGCACATAACTTGTTAAGTTTATTACCCTATAGTTTACCATTTTGTTGCTACATAAACAGCATTATATTTTCCAACTGTATTATAGCTGTAGGTTTTTATATGTTTTTATATGTTATTATGTGTCCACCCATTTATTTCAATGCCAAGAGGTTTCAAGTCTTGAGGTGACACACTTCCTTCTGATGCTGAGCCTCTAATGTACTTGATACTTAAATATTCAATACACATTTGCTAATGTTATATTTATTATCTGTGTCTACAGAAACACCACTGTGCCCACCATAAAGACACCTTTTACATGACCATTCAGAGTACTTTAGCTCCTTGAATGTGAAGAACCTAAAATCTCTCCAATCCAAATGCCTTAGATGATAGGGAGGTAAGAGAGGGTAGGAATTTGGCAGAGATAGAAATGAAGGCAATTCTGCAGGTAGCAGTTGCCATGCTAAGAGGGAAATTGGAGAACTGGATGGAGATGAGAAAGTCTGGGACATTTTGCCCCTTTTCAGGGACAGATGTACCCTATTCATTCTTCCTTGTTCACTGCTCTTTGGGTGTCAGGCGGTGGCACTTTCTGACTGCAGCATTGTACAGAGATGGCCTGAGGTGGCCCAGCCTTATTTGATTACGCTTGTATAAATCCTCACAACAATTCTTCTGAAGCTTTCCCTGTTTTACAGATGAAGATACTGAGGTTCAGAGTGGTCATGTGACTTGCCCAGGATGTGACATGGGAGAACTGGCACTCCAGCTCAGATTTGCCTGGTCCCAAAGCCCATGTGCCATTCACTCCCCAACATAGCTGTAAAGTCTAGGATTAAACTATGACCCTCAGGCCACTTGGGATTTATGTCATACTTAGGCAGTGAGAAAGAGATGCTAATTAAGTGAATTATAGTTATTTGGTAACTTCTGCCTTAGAACAAATTACCTCAGAACCCAGTGGTATAAAACAACAATACCAGGGGTGCCTGGGTGGCTCCGTCGGTTAAGCGTCCCACTCTTGATCTCAGCTCAGATCTTGGTCTCAGGGTCGTTAGTTCAGGCCCCTGAAAAACAAAACAAAACAAAAAACTACCATATTCTGCTCCTGATTTTGTTGGGCAGGAATCTGGGAAGTGCTCAGCTGGGCTGTTCTTGTTTGGAGTTTGTCCGGCAGATGCAGTCAGACCATTGGCTGGGGCTGCTGTGATCAGAAAGTTCCACCAGGCTGGGTGTGTCCAGGGTGGCCCAGTCCCATGGCTGGGAGCTCAGCTGAGGCTGCCGACCAGAACACCTACTTGTGGTCTCCAAGGCAATTGTTCTCCACCAGGGGTGATTTTGCCACCCAGGGGCATTTGTGTCTATTCGCAGCAGGGTGCATGCACTAGCATCTGGTGGATGGAGGCCAGGGATGCTGCTGACCATCCTGCCGTGTACATCCCAGCTCCCCACCACAAGGATGTGTCCAGCCCAAAACGTCAATAGGGCCAAGGTTGAGAAACCCTGCTCCAAAGCTTGGTGATCTCGGGCGAGTCGGACTTCTTGCCTGGGCACTGGCTTCCCCCTGCAGGGGCTCCCCAGAGAACCAGGCAGAAACTACATCTCCTCCTGTGACGCAGCCTCAGAAGTCACATGGCATCACTTCCATGGACTCTGTTGGTCAAAGTCATCACAAACCTGCCTTGACTCAAGGTGGGGAGAGGGGTATGGATCCCACCTCTCAATGGGAGGAGTGTCAAAGAATCTGTGGTCACTTACTAACCACCATAGAATGTACTGGGGAGCAGCACGAGGGGAAGCAGGCAGAGCCACAGGCCCACTAAGCGCTGTCCTCTGGTCACCAGCTCATTCTGCTGGGTGTTGGCCAAGCTGACGCCGAGTCACTTAGACCCGCTTACAGAAGCAGCTGCTGTAACTGGCTTGGAAGCCCTGTCAAGAACCCCCAAACCCCAAACCCTTCATCAAGCACTACAGAGTTTTCTCTGGGTTTATGGGAAACTGAGATCAGGATGTCTGCATCGGATTCTCCTTCCACTTCTTTTCTCCTCCCCAGTTGAACCCTCTCCACCCCACCACACACACTCCCAGTTCTCCAACTGGGCGCTCACTCATGCCTGTAAGCTCACCTATCTCTCTGAGCACCTAAGCACTTCATTATTGGCTTGGGCAGAGAAATGTGCCATTAGTGATTTAATCTCCACAAGACATTTCTCCCTAATTGCTAATCACAGATGATAATTAGCGACTGTTAATTCCTGATAATTAACAAGCTAATTCTTAGAGGTAATGGCCCCAGGGCGATCATCTTAAAAGGTTCAAAGCTGCCGCGCTTCTGGGCCCCAAGCTCCAAGGGATGACACTGCATTTTGGCATCTCTAGCCCAGAAATTAACTGGGGACCTTCCATTTCTGTTTACAAGGGCAGCAATTGGACAATTGATGACTCTAATCTTTAGTTTTCCTCTCTGGATATATGGGTTTGTTTTTTTTTAAGAAGCTTTGTCGAGCACAGAACACTATAAAGAAAATCAAATACACGTAACCTTAAGACCTGGGAGTATCCACCATCAACATTTTGGTTTATTTCTTCCTAGTCTATGAATTTGTTTCATAGTTGAGGTCCTGGCAAACATGGGGTTTTACCTCCAGCTTTATTTGCTTAATATTATAGAGTAAACATCTTGTCTGGTGGTAGCAACTTATAAAAAAAAAGGTCTGCCTCCCCCGCTGAGAAGAATCAACTGGGTGCTATAGCCGAGGGAGAGGATTCGTGAGAAGGAGAAACAACCATGGAAAAGCCAAGATCTGATTATGTGGGAACTGGGAATTCATTCCCGACCAGAGTGTCTTCAGGGGACCGCTGTCCCTGCCCCACCCACTGAAGATATTGGCTGGAAGAATCTGTGTGCAAGCACACAGTCACACAGGAGAAAGGCTGGGAACTAAAATGTGAACGGTGGTGTTGCTTTCAGAGTGGGCAAGTGCATGAATTTTCCTCCTCTGCCTTACGATTTTCTGTACAGCACAGAGGAAAAAGCACTGGATCAGCATTCAGAAGATTTCCAGTTCACACTCTTGTCCCTCCACAGAACTGGCCGTACGATCTCAGGTAAATCTCTCCTCTGGACCCTGGTTTTCTTAAATGTGCTTTGAGGGAAACGTTAGTCTTCCTGCCCTGAAAGGTGGTTTTGGGAATCAGAAATGCTGGGTTAGAGTTTGCCTCTCAATATGAGAGGATATGCTGGCTGACTCCCCCAAAGGAAACCCAGGAGGGTCAGGAGACCACCTTTATGTAACACTAGGCTATTTCCAAAGACAATCTTCCGAAATACTGTGTCCCATGCATTTCTAGATTCCCCAGTGACCTGCTCTGGATGTGCCTCTTCACCCCAAGTTTCTTGAACCTGTTTATTCCTTCAGCAGGGAGATGATGTAGCCATAGCATAAACTTGGGAATTAGACCTAAATTCAGATCAGTCACAGGTCACGGGTGTCAGCCACCTGTGACGTCCTGTAGGCTATGGAACATGTCTGAGCCTCAGTTTCCCCATCCATGAAATGGGGGCATATACAACCTACTACTTACAGGGTTGTTGTCAGGTCCCAATGAGGTACTCTACACAAAGGGCTTTTCCGTACTCAGCTCATGATATTTATTTGTACATAAATACGATTTCAGAACAGAAGCACAAATACAACTGTGTAATGGGTAAGAGGGACCATTTCTCGCTCTGCGTGGCATCCCCTGGATTTGTTACTCACTCTGGAAGGGGACTTTTCCCTTTGCCCAAGCTCACCCCAGGCTTCGCGGGCTGCTCCTGCAGTGTGGTTGGTGGGTCCACTTCAGCCTCTTCCTTTCTCTCCTGCATGTATAGCTTCAGATCCAATCTCCTCTCCCCCCTCACCTCCCGAGATCTCTCAGATCTGAGTCTTCTTTTGTCCCTCTGCCAAGCTTACTGTTAAAATTGGCCGTTCAGCCCTGATCTGTGCGCCCTGCAAGGCAGGTGGGGTGGGGGGGCTGGTTACCCCATTGCTGTGTGATGCTAATTCCTTACAAAACACGCTGCATCCATGCTGCGTTTAATTCCCCAGCAAGTTTGTGGAGTGGCCTGGTGAGAGCTTGGTATTCTTCACGTGGGGAGGGGGTGGGGGGGTGGCAGCAGCATTCGCAAAGTGGGTACCACGGAAACAGACACCATTTTGTGGACACAGAAGTTCGGAAAACACCGCAATGAGCGAAACTGCACACGCTTTTCAGGCCTGTAACATATTAATGTGCAACGTGATTCTTCGAGACCTAGATGCAGTGCTTCCCATGCTTTTTTCCCATCAGAGTCCTTTTTACTAGAATAGTGCTCCATGGAACCCGCTTTGGAAAACACTCGTAAAGGTGGCATGGGAAAGGTCTCGGGAATGGGGCAGGGTGAAGTTCAAAGGCAGCACCACCACTTGCTAGCTGAGTGTTCTCGGGCAAGTTTCTTAACCTCTCTGATCCTCAGTTTGTTCACCTATAAAGTGGGGACGGTAACAGGGCTATAAGGATTAAAATAGAGAGTCAAGTGCTTAGCAGAATGCCTAACAGTTGAGAACATTCAATATACTTTGGCTTTTATTGTTATTCTCTTCGAGAAAAAAATGGCCCTCCGAAAGGTTACTGTTTCAACACGACATGGCTAGTTAGTGACCGGGTTGTGTCCTGGCGTCCCACCTCTCCCTTCAAGGCTCTTCGCAGCGTACAGAGCTGTTGTTCTCATTGGGGATCGAATCCCTTTTTTTCCTCTCCTTCCCTTCCCCCCGCCAACCACCTGTGGGCTTCTAATTCCCTTCCCTCTGGCAGATTCAGGGTTTTGCAAGCCTCAGAAGTGAGGGAAAGTACTGCAAACTGCTATAAAAGTCTTAGTTATCATTCCCTCATCACTACCCATCCCAGCAGTCCAGGCGGCCACTTCCCTGGGGCTCCTGCAGGCAGCCTGCCCCACCCCCCTCCCCTCCCCGGGGGCCCCGGGTTTCTGCCCGTGATGATGGAGTCACAGAGCAGAGTAGGTGCTTTATTAGATGTGCGTAACCCAGTCGGGAGCCAGGCCGTCCCACCCCTCCTCCCACCCCACTGCATGCAGAACGACTTGGCTTGTTGGTGGGGCTGGCTGGGGATTTTCTTTTTCCCTCCTTTGTCAAAGCCGGTACGGGAAGGATGGTGCTCTGCGGCCTGGTGGACAGGAGGCCTTTGCCCCCAGGCTCTCACGCACACCCCCAGGAAGCCAGCATGGGGCTCGCTCTGTAGCTGAGTCAACTCTGCTGCGGTCAGCTGATAGGGCAGGGCTGATGCTATGGAACTGGGGTCAGTTCATCCCCCCTTGTTGCGCAGAGCACCCACTGTTCCTCCCCTTCTCCCACAGCAAGCTCAGATTTCACAGACGAATCAAGCCTCCTGACCTGACCGTGGCTTCTATCCCTTCTCCGAGGACTCAGCCGAGTCTCGGCTGGGATAGGGCCCTGCGGCGGGTGATCCCCACCTCCCCATCACAGGCGCTGGGGCACTTGACTCTTTCCTGACCATTAACATTTCAGAATTCCTGACTTTGTAGGACTGACGGCAAAAGGGCCCGTGAGAGATGCTGACGGCCTGGCAACTTTGCAGGCATATGACTTGCTCTGCCGGCCCCCTCCCCTTCTAGAAATGGCTCTGCCTGCCCTCTACAGCCCCCTAGGTGACCCTCTTCTGGGCTCTCATCATATCCTGGCTTTCCCCATCATAGCACTTACTGCGTTGTAGCGTAGGTTTCTTGTTTGCTGGCTCAGAGCCCCTCAGACTTCAGCAGATCCGCAGCTCACCTAGATCTTGTTAAAATACAGATTCTGGTTTAGAAAGTTGGAAGGTCCTGGGATTCTGCCTTTCCGACAAGCTCTGGGGTGAGGCCGATGCTGCTGGTCCATGGATCACACTCTGAGGAGCAAAGATCAATCGTTCTCCACTTGGGCCGCACGTTGGAATCGCCGAGAGCACCTGCAGGATACCCCTGCCCCCGTAGGAGGCCAGCTGCCCCAGAATCCCTCAGAGGGACACCCAGGCTGGAGGGATTTTTAGATGCTCCCCGGATGTTTCTAGATTGGGACCAGTGAGCGGAAGCCCTGAGCTGGGTTGTGGGCTCTGTAGAGGCTGGCCTCTGTCTGCCCTACTGTCGGTCTTTCCCTGCGCGAGCCCACACCTGTCCGTGGCAGGTATCGGTAGGGGGCTCACAGCGCCCCTTGCATAGACTCTCGGCCTCGGGCTGGTTCAGAGCTGGCTCCCGCCAATACCACCTGCTGAGCCCGCAAGGTCAGATGGTTTTAGAGGCCCATTGGGTTTGGACTGTGGTGTGGCTTCTTGACTTGGGCTGACCCAGAACTACAACTCATTAGAGTCCGTGAGGAAGACCCCTTCCCAAGAGGCCTTCTCTGCCCCTCTGCCTTTTCTTAAGGCCACGGCTGCTTCCCCCTCTGCATCCTGCTCAGAGTCCTTCTTAACACAGAGAAGTCCACCCCCGCAGAGTTCATGCCTCCATGGGAGATCTCAAGCTGCATTTTAATTGTGTTGGTGGTACCTTTGTTCTTCTAACGGGAACTCTTCGAGGGCAAGGAGAGTGTGCTGTTCATCTTGTCTTCCATGTGGGCACAGTGGGTTGCTGCAGATGAATGAATGAATGGTGGTATCCAGCAAGGGGGGCTCCCAGAGAGGAAAGGGGGACCCTTGTAGTAGCCTGTCCAGAAGGCTGTGAATTCCTCAGGGGGAGAGGAAGCACCCCCATAGTGGCCTGGCATCCAGGAGCTGGCCTGTGGGTCTTTCTGCATCTGGTTAGCCAAGCGGGGTGACTTGAGTTACCTCCTCCGGGCCCTGCATCTTGGCCTCCTCAGGGGCTTACCCTCTCTCCTGCCTCCAGAGCCCACTTCCTTGGCCGCAGGCCGCCCATCGACCTCTGGGAAGATGAGTGGCTGCGGGAGGAAGGCCCTGACCCTGCTGAGCAGCGTCTTTGCTGTCTGTGGCCTGGGTCTCCTGGGCATCGCAGTCAGCACCGACTACTGGCTCTACCTGGAGGAGGGCGTGGTCCTGCCCCAGAACCAGAGCATGGAAATCAAGATGTCCCTGCACTCGGGCCTGTGGCGTGTCTGCTTCCTCGCAGGTAAGGGCACCCCAGGTTGGGACAGCCCTCTCCCAGAGACAGGAGCAGGCCTTGCCCCGCCCCCCCCCCGGAAAACCTGCCCGAGAGCCCCCGTTGGGAAGAGATGCCCCCACTGGGAGGGGGCAGTTCACCAGAGATGGCCCTTGTGAATTCTGGGTGGGCCTCCCTGCAGCAACCAGGGCCCATTCCAAACGTAAGCCCTGAGTCAGAGTGTCCAGGAGCAGGTCCTGTCATCCCTGGGACCTGTGTCCCTCCAACCTGAGAGATGAATGTAGCCACACCTTCCCCACACTTCCCCATACTCTGCCTCCCAGGCTGAATGAGGCTGGCCTCCCACGGGTCTGGAACCACCCTTGCGTGCCTTAGCCCATGGAATTATTGATCTCAGTGCCTCCCCACAACACTCCAAGGCAGGACTTATTATTTCCACTTTACAAATAAGCAAATGAAGACCCAGGGAGGCAAAGTAAGTCTCCTTGACTCAACATTACAGGTCCACTCGTTTACAGAATGGGAAAGACTTGGCAGTTTCCCTGTTCCAATTCCGTGAAATGGGAAAGAGAAAACCCAGGTGTACATCCTTCCAAATTTGCAAGATGGTGCAGGCTTTGATCCCACCTATCTGGGCCTCCCTCCAGTTCTCGAGGACTTCTCTGGAACCCTTGAGTTGCTATTCCAGGCACTTTGTCTTTATCCCTTTATCATGGCCCAGAACCAACCTGCACAAGAAGAGCATCTCCATGCTCTGTGAGACTGGTCGCAAGCCTGAGCTGGCTGGAATCCCCACAGGGTGATCACTGAGCCTTTCTAGAAGGGCCCCTGGCACTTTACATGTACACAGGACAGAGGGAGCATGTGGTCCTCCCAGCTTTATAGTAGGGATTTGGAAAATGAGGGTGGTGATTGGCGCCCAGCAGCATCCAGCATGGAGGACACCTCAAGGCCTGGCCTCCTGGTGACTTTGGAAATGGCATCTGACACTGACCTCACCTCCCACTTTCTGAAACTATGTGGCATCAGTCTCTACTTAAATCTGAAGGAGAATTTGAAGTCACTGGGGTCTGGCTTCCAAAATGATTGAGAAGACTTTGGGGGTTCTGTTCCGTGACATCCCTGCTGGGGAATCTAAGCCAGCCATGTGCCATCATCAGCTGAGTCTGCCGCAAAGCAACAAGATGGCCACCAGATGAGTCTCTCAACCTCAAGTTTGTAGTGCAGACTTCTTTTCATGTGACTCTTGGTGCCTGGGTCCACATTCACAGTGCTGCTTCTCCAGGAAAGATGTGATGTCAGGAGACACCCCCACCCCTACGGTGGGTCACTAGCCAGGGATGGGACCCCCGAGATTTAGATCCAGCCCAGGCGCAAACACAGTGGGCCAAAGATCCCAGAAGCATTTGGGGATATCATTTGAATGTATGAACTTCACATCCATGTTCAAGAATAACCTGGAAATGCAAATGATTCTTGTCTTCACAGGTGAGGAGCGGGGACGCTGCTTCACCATAGAGTATGTGATGCCCATGAACACTCAGTTGACATCAGAGTCCACAGTCAATGTTCTAAGTAGGTGCCTCAGACTTTCTGACCTGGGTCACTGGCTAGACAGAGCAGAGCAGGGCAGGGGGAAGAGGCAGGGTGACCAGCTTGCTTCTCAAGCACTAATGCCCTTCGAATCAGCTGGTGGGGTTGGCCTCAGCTCCCCAGAGCTTTCTCTGCCGATTATTCTTCCAGTGGTGATGACAGCTTGCTGGAGTCTCCCAAGTCTTGTGGCCCAGGCAAGGGAGAGGGCATTCTGCCTCGTGTCTTAGTCTGTGTGGGCTGCCGTAGCAAAATACCACAGACCAGGTAGTTTCTGACCCACAGAAATTTATTTCTCTCAGTCATGGAGGCTGGAAGTCCAAGATCAAGGGGCCGGCAGGATCACGTTGTGGTGAGGCCCCTCTCCTGGCTCATAGCTGGTGCCTTACTGCTGTGTTCTCACACAGAGGAAGGGGCGAGGGAGCTCCGTGGGGTCTCTTTTATAAAGGCATCGATCCCACTCATGAGGGCTCCACCCTACGCATCCAAACCACAGCACTCAGGGAACTGATGCAAACTCTCTGGCGCCCAAGAAGATTGACTTCATGGCCTTTGCCTTACCAGGGTCTATTCTGACCCCAGTGTGGGCTTGCAATACAGTTCTGATACAATCACCCCTTAGCCTTAGGCTAAGGACTCAGTACCCCAACCAGACTTCCCTCATTTCCCACACCAGCTGGAAGTTCAGAAGACCCCCAAGGCCACTGGCATTTTTGACCAGCTGGCTACAAGTCAGAGGTTCCTGTGACTCCTTCAGGTTCAAAACATTGCTAGAGCAAGTCCTAGAACTCAGGAAAGCACTATACTTCCTATCACAGTTTTATTATAAAGGGTTCAGATCAAGACCAGCCAGATGAGGAGGCACATAGGGCCAGATCTGGGAGGGCATTGAATGCCGAGCCTCCATGTCTTCTCCCCATGGAATCAGGATGCCTCACCATCCTGACACATGGGTGTGTTCACTAACCAGGAAACCCAACCAGGCTTTGGTGCCGAGTATTTATTGGGTTTCATTATGGAGGCGTGTTTGAGTGCGCTGTCCACCACGTGACTGAACACAGTCTCCAGACCCCTCCCCCCTTCCCAGAGTCAGGCCTGGATCACGTGGCTCAAAACCCCAACCATCTAATCACGTGGTTGGTCTTTCCAGCCCTGTCCTGAGTCAGCTGATCGGAAGAATCTCAGGGGTAGTCGAGGGGCCCACCATGAATATCAAGGACACTCTTCTCACTTGGGAAATTCCAGGGATTTGGAGGTTCTCGCTTGGGAACCAAGGGCAAAGACAAGATACGTTCATTAGGCAGACCATCCCCCAAGTAATTATAAGTTGAAGACAACAGAGGCCAGGAACTGTCTACAGCACCCCTCAGAGATAGATGCCTGTGTCCCTGGAGAGGGTGCATGACCCCAGGAGAGGAAGTGAGGTGAGTGACAAGGCCCTTCCATGGCTGCCATACTGGCTGCCCAGGAGGGAACAGTTTGTGCTGGAAGAAAAGACAGAAGCATGTTGGCAGTGTCAGCCCTCCCAACCCTGCCTCAGAGACGCAAGCCCTGCCAGCACTGGGAGATCCCCGGGCCGCCCAAGGAGGGGATGGAGCCCAGAGAACTCATGCAGGCCAGGGGGTTGGGGCACCGGTTGGCAGACGCTGCCAGGAACACCTGGGAGGGGAGGTAAGTAGGTAAGGCCACGGGAGGCTGACGGTGTCCTCTTGTCCCCTCAATTAGAAATGATTCGCTCAGCCACACCGTTCCCCCTGGTCAGCCTCTTCTTCATGTTCATTGGGTTTATCCTGAGCAACATCGGACACATCCGTCCCCACAGGACAATACTGGCCTTTGTCTCTGGCATCTTTTTTATTCTCTCAGGTAAGTTGTACTGTTTTCTTTCACACACTCTCGACTCTCGACATTTGACTCCTCCACGGCTCTGCTCTGGGAAGTGTGGTCACAGCTGTGGGTCAGCCCCTGGCATGGGAGCAGCTGAGTCTGTGCCCCAGGTAGAACCGAGTTGGAGTGAGGGAGGCCTCTGATGACCTCGAGCCCATCCATGACCCCCAGAGGAGGAAAGACCTGATAGGCTCACCTGGGGCAGAGCTGGGATTAGAGCCCGGGGCTCTCGCCTCCCTCCCCGTTGTCACCACCTCTGACTTCTTGATTCTACCAATAATGAGCATTCTTATTTTTGAAGGGGCTATTTCTTCCTGATTTTGCATGAAAGGTAAGTACAATCTACCTTTGGAATCATGGCCCCTTCACTCCCAGCCCTCAGCTATCGTCAGGAGACTCCTACTATCCCCTTGACCTTCCAGTCACACCCATACCCAGGTCCCTTAAACATGAATCTGTCTTCCTGGAGAGACACCAGGTTGAGTTTCATTCATTCATTCATTCATTCATTCATTCATGAATTATATCTACCAGGCCTTATTCTGGGTGCTGGCATCACTGCCCACAAAAACGTCAGCAGAATGGGAGATATAAACAAATAGATTTACTAATATGAACATAGCAGGACAAGCAAGGACTCCTATGGGGGCCAAGAACAGTGACTGAAATTCAGACCAACGGTTGGTCAGATAAGACTCCCAGAAGGGGAGCTCAAGGATGAATTAGGTAAAGGAGTAAGGTTGAGAGTGGGGATGGAAAGGGAGCCTGGAGGAAAGAGAGAGGATAAAGCATTGGGGAGTTCATTGTGCTTTATGGCAGGAGTGTGAAGTGGAATATGTGGCGGGAGGGGAGACGGGAAGGCATCTGAGGATTTGGGACATTGTGAGAAACGTCAGAAGGACTTTGAGCTAAGGGATGACGATATGATCATATTTGGGGATTTTAAAATGACCACTCTGGGGAATGGAGGGAAGGATGGAAGCAACACAGGGGCAGGGAGAGCAGGCGAGGGGCTATTTCAGTGGCACAGGAGAGAGGTGATGGTGGCCCACATGAAGGGGATGATAGGAGAGAAGAGAGAAATGAGAGGATTCAGGTGACATTGGGAGATAACAGGACAAGGACTAGGCTTTAAGGAAAGAGTCAAGGATGGTGCCAAATTCTTGTTTAGGCAGTGGGTGAATGACGCATCCATGGTTGAGCTAGAGACCACAGGAGAAGAAGCAAATTTGGGCCAAGTTCATGAGTTTAGTGTGGGAAATGCTGAGTTTGAGGTGTCCATGTAACACCTGGGAGGAGGTGTCCCAAAGACTGCTAAAGGTCAGAGGCTTGTGGAAGGGGCCTGGACCCAAAATAGAGATTAAGAGCTAACCTCTTAGGGAGTAGGAGAGGGAACCATGGGTAGAGATGAGGTTACTCACGGGGAGTGCACAGAGTGAGAAGGCAAGAGAATGTGGCAAATAAAGATAGGTTCTTTCTCCCCTTTAAGGTGACCTATACCTTTTCAGGAGGACCTTTGCTTTTAGAGATAATACTTCAGACAGAAGAGTGACCCTCAGAGCATGTATTTTAGGTGCCCTGGAGCCCTGGACACATTGACAAGGGAGGGCCTAGGGAGGAGATGCTCTGATGGAAGATGGGTAGGTGGATGGCTTGGATAATGGATGGAAGGAAGGAAGGGACAAAGGGGAGGGGAGGGCAGTAAGAATAGCTCTTGGGCACCAGGTATTCTGATTGCCACCTGATTCCCAAGCCAGTTTAGATTCCTTTTCTCAACACTTTCATATCAGTATAGCTCTCTTCCTCCCTCCCTCCCTCCCGCCTTCCTTCTTTCCTTCTTTCTTCCCTCCCTTCCTTCCTTCCTCTCTTCCTTCCTTCCCTCCTTCCCTTCCTTCTTTCTTCTCTCCTTCCTTCTTTCCTTCTTTCTCCTTCCATCCTTTCTTCCATTCATCTGTCCATCTTTTTTTCAACTGACACACCACTCTTCCATCCACCCTTCCATCCATCAATCCAACAAATATTTATTGGGCACCTGCGATGTCCTTGGCCTGCCTTCTGCATGGTGATATTTCCACCTAGTCTAAGAGGTACAGACTCAGGGGTTAAACTTTTCCTTTATCTTTCTAACTTGACAAGAGTCAAGGCCGTAGAGTAGCTTCGAGGCACCTGAGGTTTTTCCAGCAGCAGGCAACAGGATCAGAAATCTCAGAATGAACGGGGCCATGCGAAGTTGTTTTAATGATAACAACAGAGAAGGTTCCCTTGGGCCAGCAATGATGGCAGCATGAATTAAGTGCCAAGGAAGGCTCGAATCACACCTCTTTTCCTCTAATGTTCCTCCTTCAAGATGCCCTAGTTTAATCATGTGAGTGGAATTAAGCCTGAACAGCTCAAAACAGAGTAATTAATTATGTCCTAATTCAATGACAGTAACTAACCAAGGGACCGGTGCCTGAGGCAGTCACTTGCACAAGAGAGCAGGAGTTTGGGCCCCAATGGCCTCTTGAGTTATCGCTTTCCAGAATCTGGACAAACTCACTTTACCCCTCCTACCTCAGGATTTCAGTATGCCTCCCCCATGGTCAGTGGCGCTGTGAAGACCGTGGGCCACTTAGTCTCCACAAGGATGTTAAGGAGAGAGGGATCGGAGGTCCTGGCTGCCTCTGCCAAGGGAGCCTGTCTTATTCTTCAGTTTACCAAAGGCCACTTGCTAGCTCAGTGGTTCACACCCTTAGTTGACCTTAGCATCAGCTGGGGAGCTTTTAAGACAACCCAGTGCCAGGGCCCCCGCCCAGGCCAAGTGACCCAGAAAGTCTGGGGACAGGGCTCAGGCAAGTATGTCTGACAGGTGATCCTCATGGGTGGGCAGGTGGGGTGACAGCCATGGGGCTTCCGTGGCTCAGAAGGTGGCTGGACAGGGAGCTTTCTTCCCTGCAACTATCTGCTTTCTAGAAGGTAATGGTCTAAACAAGGTCTTTAGGAGGAAAGCTCCTGCTCTCCCTCAAGCCCCAAATGAGGCTTTCTTCCTGAACCCCAAGGGGAGGTGGGTGCTCCATCAGCAAAGGCCCTGGGGCCTCTTCACTAAGCAGCCCCTTGCCTTGACGCAGGCCTCTCTCTGGTGGTGGGTCTCGTGCTCTACATCTCCGGCATCAACGATGAGATGCTCAACAGGACCAAGGACACAGAGACCTATTTCAACTATAAGTACGGGTGGTCCTTCGCCTTCGCTGCCATCTCGTTCCTTTTGACGGAGGTAAACCTCCCCCGACAGGCAGGGGGCCCCGGCCCCACCCTCTCTGCTGCCCTTCTTCCTCCCCAGAACGTGTCACTCTCCCACCTTCCCCGGGCCCGCTTGTCCAGGACATCCCCGCTCTGTCCCAGGGCTTCAGCTGCTCCGGTGGCCGCGTCCTGTGCAGACCCCGGCCCCCAGCTGGGGAGCAAGACCAGGGCCCCAGCAGTGAGCGCCCCTCTGCTTTCTCCTCCCTGTAGAGCGCGGGGGTGATGTCCGTGTACCTGTTCATGAAGCGGTACACCGCCGAGGACTTGTACAGGCCCCACCCCGGCTTCTACCGGCCTCGCCTGAGCAACTGCTCCGATTACTCAGGCCAGTTCCTACACCCGGACGCCTGGGTCCGGGGCCGCAGCCCCTCCGACATCTCCAGTGACGCCTCCCTGCAGATGAACAGCAACTACCCAGCGTTGCTCAAGTGCCCCGACTATGACCAGATGTCATCTTCCCCCTGCTGAGCCTCACCACCTTCCTCCCTGGACTGTGGACAGCCAGATAGCCCTTCCCGTGCTCCCCTGATGGCCTGTGAGCCCCAGGCCCTTGGTTGCCAGGCCCAGGCTGTCCTCGCGCTTCGCTGTTGTCACTTGACCCACGTTGTCTCCACAGCTTCCCCCAGAGTAGCTCTAACTGCCCCAGGGCGGGTGTCGGGGAGGCTGGAGCCAGCGGGCAAGCTGATTGGCTGAGAGCATGGGTGTGGCCCCGCCTCTTGAGTGCCAATCACTGGCTGTTCCAGCTGCGTATTTGTCCCTACACACCCAACATCATGGCCCCAGGCCGAGTTCCTTACACAGACCCAACTGGGCTTGTGTGCCTACCAACTAGCCTGGCCCTCCTGCTCATGATCTGGGCCATCAGGCCAAAAAGGTGACTCTCCTATGGAGGTCTGGCTGGTTCAGCATTGCCAAGCAGTGTTCCTTGTGAAATCCTTTATCCTTGTTGGTTACCCACACCAGTCCCTACAGCACACCTTCCTGGGCTCTCCCCTCCCCTCTGCCCCATAAGCTGTGAATCTTCCCTCCTCTCCTCCCACCAGGACTCAGCTGCCCGGGCCTTGGTCCCTAAGGGGTCCAGAGTGGGTCTGAGACCACACTGATGAAGTCACAAAGAGGTGTTAATGGCTGATGATGTCTTAATATGTATGGCCCCTATAACATATTCAACAGGGGTCTTTAATGCCTTAACCCAAGAAGTGACTCTCACAAGGAGAATTTCAGATTTTGGCTGGTCCGAGTTAGTATTATCAGGCACTGTTTCAGGCCCGGGGGATACTATCCCTGCTCACATGGGCAGTATTTCCTGTCCAAGGCCCTAAAATCTAACCATGTAGATACACGCCTATACCACCTAAGTAGAAGGCAGCTTTCAAAGAGGCTGCCTGGGATTTGGAGCTGGATTTGTCAACACTTGGTGCATTTTGAGTCAAAACAAGCCAGCCTTAGAATAATCTGGATGCCCGTGAATATATGGGGGTTGTCATTTAATCCTAATACAGGGCAGTATCTGCTTCCTGGACTGGGGACATATGCAGGCAGCCAGATGCTTCCAGAAGATGAGACAGGGTGATGCCCATTTTCCTAGTAGCAAACCTGAGCTGGGAGGTACCAAGCACTTTCCATGAAGTCCACAGGATCGGTGGAAGGGCCACTGCAGGACGTGACCCCCCCCCCCAGTTCTCCAGGCAAGCTCTCAGTGTATGCATTTCCGGTTATGAGATTGTGAGTAGCAAAACAAGGCCAGGCTCTCCGCTGTGTGTTTCTGCCATGCCAGCTTTTCTCTCTTGCTCTCGCTCTCTAAGATAGCGTTAGGTTCCAGGGTCACAGAGCCACCGCGGGCAACACTTGGGCTCTGGAAAGCTCTACAGAAGACCACACATCCACGTGTACGGACTTGGACGAGACAGTCTCCTAGTTTTCTAGAGCTGCCATAACAAAATGCTCTAACAAGAGACATTTATTTCCTCACGGTTCCGGAGACCAGAAGTCAGAGATCAAGATGGCCGCCGATTGGCTTTCTTCCGAGGCCTCTCCTTGGCTTGCAGATGGTGTGTCCTCACACGGTCTTTTCTGTGCTTGTGTGCATGCCCTGGGGTCCACGTTCCCTCTCACCAGGAAACCAGTCAGAGCAGATTAGAGCCCATCCTCAGAGCCTCATTCATCCCTGTTTAAAGGCCCTGTCACATTCTGAGGTTCTGCAGGTGAGGGCCTCAACATAGGACTTTGGGAGGGAGGTGCACGCAGTTCAGCAGGTACAGGTGGGTCACTTCATAGCTGGGTTATTCCACGTGCTTCACAGCACAGTAGAGGGGAAGATGAGAGAAGCCGATTGTGGTCCCAGTTTAGCCATCACCTGAAAGCATGGATCCTTGGGCAACCCCATCTGCTCTGAGGGGCTTGGCCCAAATTATCCCCAAGCCACTCCCTCCCACACACCCGCCCCCAACTCTAGTGATTCAGCCTTGTGTACAAAGCTCCAGGTTGCCATCAAATGTGACTTTTCAATCCTTGCCTCGAAACTGATAGCGACCATAAACCCAACCCAACGTCCCAGGCCATTGGCACCTTAAAACGACTGCCGTACTCTGGTTACTGTTCACAGAATAAAACGGAAACCACGTTCTCCTCCATAGCAAAGGAATCGGTTAGTGTACATGCAGACTCACTAGGCGGCATTTCCAAACTGGACGGTTGTTTAGATGTGCTTTTCTCCTGTTTTGGTCAATGTAATTACCCTCCCAAAATGCACTTTTCTGTCCCTTAAGCTCCCTTTCTCTGTCACTATGCCAGGCTTGTGTGTGTGTACAAGGAAAAAATAGAACCCACTCCTAAACATGAGCTGATTGTTGACTGTGACACCATTAGGATGAGCCTTTATTGGCCTGGAGGCTGGGCTGCTAAGTCAAGCACCTCGTGCCTTGGGAAGGTGCAGTTTATGCTTAAGTCATTCTCTTCCCTCATGAGAGACAGGGGATAGATCAATCGTTGCACAACTGTTACAGTTCCCTTTCCGTCTATCCATTAATCTCAGAACTGGGGGCCTATTTGCAGCCTCTCTCCACAATCAAATGTTTTAATCAAATATTAAAGTGCATAAACTCAGAAAATATAATTAGGGTCCTTTCCCAAAGCACTTGATGATCCTTCGTTTCTTCAAGCACTTGAAGAAAACACCTTGAGATTTTTTTTTCTCACCTTCAAAAACTTGGAGAGGGAGGGAGGGTAATAAACTGAAATCTGATAAATTCTGGACTAGAAAAGCACTCAGGGTTACCAGTGGTTGGACAAGAATAATTCCGAAACTGCTGGTTCCCTCCCACGTGGAACTCACCAGCCTCCTCCTTGCCCCAGGGGGACTCAATGACACCCCCTGCCCCACCAGATGGCTTTCAAAGGTCTGTTTTCAGGGCTGTGGACTGAGTTGATGGGGGCATTGGGGACAAATCCATAAGAGCCACCAGCTTCTCAGTGATGGGTCAGGGGAGCCCCTCCTTAACGTTTGGGTAATTCTCCTTTCTCCCTGAATAAAAGTGGTGTATTAGGGTTCTCCAGAGATAGACAATGGGATGTACATAGGGAGATTTATTTCAAAGAATTGGCTCCCATGGTGGTGGAGGCTTAGCAAATCCAAAATCAGATGGAGGAGACCAGCAGGCTGCAGACTCAAGGGAAAGTTGCAATTTGAGTCTGAAGGCCCGCCTGCTGGTGTATCTCCTTCTTGCTCGGGGTAGGTCAGTCTTTGTTCTATTTAGGCCTTCAACCGATTGAACAAGGCCCAGCACGTTATAAAGAGTAATCTGCATTACCCAGAGTCCACTGATTTAAATGTCAATCTCATCCAAAGCACACCTTCACAGAAACTGCCAGAATAATATGTGGGCACCATGGCCCAGCCAAGCTGACACAGTAAATTAAACATCACAAGTGGATGAAGGGCAGAGGAGAGCGGGAGAAATGGCATTCCATCTTAAGAATTGCAGGATAGGTTGGGGGCGTGGGGGGAGTCAGCCCAGCCAGGCCCAGCCGTGCACAGCCAGGCCCCGGGCTCTGTTCCTTTGCAGGCTGCCCCTCCAACTGAGCCCATCTTCCTGATGAGTGCATGGAGTTTGTTTGTGCTCTCCCCAGTCTTGACTGGTATCCCACACTCAGGGAGTACATGCTCACATGCGAATACAACCCATGAGGGGTTTATTAACCTCTGGAACACAAACGCTTCACTTGGTGAGTGGATACAGGTAAAAGACTGGATTCCACTGAATGTGCCAGACATGCCAGGACCCAGCGTGCACTGCAAGTGTGAGCTCGGCCCTGACAGCAAGGCTCGGTGGCTGCCATGTGCAGAGCAGACACTTCCCACAGGGGTGGAGGGTGGTGAGCCAGAGCTGGGCCATAGCCCCTCAGGACCCAGGACGGGCACTGGGGGCCTCGGGCCCTTCCTCTTGGCAGAACTATGGTCTCTGGATTCCCACCTACAACTGCACTGGGATCCTAGACCTCTGTTCTGTGACCTTGGACAGGTCACACTCTCCCAGGACCTGCCTCGGCTTTCTCGTGTGTACTAAAGCCTAATCTCCCCGTCCACTTCTGAGCCAAAGTTTTCTGCCTGGGGAGACTGTCCTTGAGTATTTGCACACAGTGAGCCCCTCTGCTCTGCTGGTCCCAGGGAGGCAGTGGGCCTGAGTTCCCTGCTGGGCACTGCTCCACCTTCTGTGGGTGGTCAGCAGCCTCGGGACCTACTTTTTTCATTCATATAATGAGGGGGTTGGAAAAAATCATCTTCAGGCTCTGTCTCCAGCTCAAAAGATTCTAAGTTTTATAGGCAAAACCCAGCCGAGCTCAAATGATGGACCCCCAGCTTCTGCCCCCTGCCAGGGGCACCCAGATGACACCCAAAGAATGCAGAATTTATATAAGAGAGCAGATGTTTGGGGGCCCCAAAGAAGAACAAGATTGTGTATAATGGAGCGCACATGGCAGGCCCCAGAGTAGCAGGAGGAGGAGGGGATGGAGGTCTCGAAGACAGAACTCAGCTGCCCCCTTCCTTTCTCTCAGCCAGAGGGAGAGAGATTGGATTCTCTCAATCCAACGTCTGCTTCCCTGGACAGCACTGTGGCAGGTGAGGCCCTGTTGAGCCAACTCTAGAGGTTCAAGAGCAGGTTCAAGGTCAAGAGGCACCACTTTCATGCAAAAGGAAAGGCAAGAAAGACCCTTCCCTGCTGAAAGGTGTCCGAAATGTGACTGTGTCTGTCAGGATATGAAAGTTTCCAGGTGGGAGTTGGGTGAGGGGAGGGAACTGACAGTTGCCTGGAAAAGCTCGTCCTAGAAATGGTGCCAGGAGCTCAGCCGTGGCCTTGATTGGCAGACGAGGTGGTGACTGGTTACCCCAGTGGGCTGAGGGTTCAGGGATAAGACATGTAGCTTCCTTTGCTGAGTCCCAAGCCAGCCTTCCAAGGGCCAGAGGAAGGATCTCAGAGCTGAACCTCAAGCTTCCAGCTACTCCCTCTGGGCAAACCAGTGGCATATTTCGGGCCTCAGTTTCTCCACCCACAAGATGGACAGCCTCCTCAGCCTCTCTTCCCTGGGAAGGAGTGACCCTGAGTGAGAACTTAGATGGGAATCCTGGTGGTGCCCAGCGAAGCAGATGTGCTGGCTCGGGGCTGAGCACTGGTTCAGAGTCACCATCTCTATGCCCCTGGCTGAGCTGACTTGCCGTGCCCCCCTCCAATCCCTCATCCTGTGCTTAGCCTAGGAAGGGCTTTCTTCCCACCCCTTTTGCTCTCTCCTCACCAGCAAGAAGCAGTTTGGGGAGCATATCTGATATTCCCCACTGCTCACTGACTTTGGCCTTGAGATCCCCCCTTTTCAAAGTTCGTGGAGATTGGATTCTGGCTTATGCAGCACCAACAAATAGGACATTCCAACAGCAAGTAACAATCTGATTCAAACTGCTCTAAACAATAGAAGTATTTTTTATTTTCACATCAGGAAGGCCAAGAGTAGGTGTGGGTTCAAGGACTGGCTAATTCAGAGGCTCAGTGATGCCATCAAGTACCCAAATTCTTTTCATCTCTTGGTTGTGCTGTCCTTGGAGTTGACTTTATCCTCAGGTTGGTATCAAGATGGTGGCAGCAATCCCAAGGGTCATATCAAGATGCAACAACATCAGAAGGAAGAGAAGGACTCTCTCTTCTGTGGCTTTCTTAGGAACAAAGACCCCTAAGTCTCCACCTCTGGGGTCATGTGCCCATTCCTAAACCACCATCTGGCAAGGGGAAGGGGTGACCACATGCTCCAGTCATGACAAATCACCCCAAACCTCAGTAGCTTAATCACAATCACATCATTACTATTTCTGACAGTTGGGGGGTTGAGTGGGCTCAGCAAGATGGTTCTCACTCAGGATCTCCCAGGGGTCAGAGTCTGTGACTATCATCTCCAAGGCTTCTTTGCTCACTTGTCTGGCAATTATGTCCACTTGGGACCTCAGCCAGGGCTGAGTACAGTCTCTTCACAAGGACTGGTCTTCCTCAGAGCAGGATAGCTGGGTGCTAAGAGTGAACATCCCAAGACACAGGTAGTCTTGCCTTTCTTTGAAGTAGCCTCAGATGTCACCTGGTGTCCCTTCCATCATAATCAGCAGACCACCCTGATGTAAGGGCAAGGAACATAGATCTTGCCAATCTGAGATGTGAGGAGTGTCAAAGTCCCATTGTGAAGAGAGGGACCTGTTGGGGCAACCATCTTTGGAAAACACAATCTGCTGTACCACCACTGGCTCTGACCAGTTGTTCTCCCAGTACAGAGATTCTGATTTTGTTCTGAGCTGGGCACTGTTTCTCTAACAGTTTCCAGGTGATGTCAAGACTGTGCCATGCTCTAGGCTCTCAGGACTGACTTCCAGGCACATGAACTTGTTAAAACTCCCTAGGCAGTTCTAGTGTGAAAGCAGGGTTGATAAGCACTGGGTTGGATCTACCAGGATTTGCCCTTCTCCTGAGTCGGGTTGAGGAGAACTGCTTCCCAAACAAAATATAGGAGAAGAAGGGGAAATGGTCCTGGGTGGGCACCCAAGGATGCTAAGGGCCCAGGCATCCTCCTTGCTCCCTCCCAACCTGCAGAGGCCCTGCCTCTTTAGACAAGGCTGTGCCGTGGGCAGGATGTCAAGTCCATGGGCTCATGTCCAGCCTCTCTGCCCCTGCGGCCTTTCTTTGTTGAGCTGGTATTCACTGGGATGCAGGAAGGGCCTGCCCTTGAGAAAGAAGACAGCAACACTCTGCATTCTGGAGCCAGTGTGCTCTCTGCCCCACTCTCAGGGCCAAAGGATGGACTTCTGGCCCTGAGTAGGCCTGATAGATGCTCAGAAATGGATGCCCTTATGGTCTCAGGGCTCTGACGCTAAGTTTAAACCAATCTTCATCACTGGCCTTTGAATAATTCATTTTGCACTGAGAAATCATAAAAAGGACAAGGCCTGAGGGCTTTGGAGGTTTCTGATCAGGCAATGAAGAGACCATGTATCACAGTCTTCTCAGCAGAGTGGACATGGGTCCATTTTTATATTAAATCTGCCCACACCTGCACATCCACCTCCTACCCCATATCAAATACAATGGAATCCATGTGAAAATACCACAGAGTCTATTTTTAAAAAGACAACAACTATGTATTTAAAATGTAAAGTCCTCCTCAGATGATTTTTCTTAACAAAATGACAAAGAAACTGAACTAAACAAAGCCCACAAGAGGCTCCAGGTGGGTACCACATATTAAATCCAAAGCTGTTCTCGGTGCCCTAAATGATCCAGGCTGGATGGTGTCCCACAGGGTCCCTCACAGGTTTGGGGAAAGTGGATTCACCATCTTGAATTAAGACACAGTTTCTTGTGAATATCGGTCTAAGATACTATGACTTCAGTCAAGGGTCACCAGACATCATCATCAACAGTGAAGCATCCGGAGTGCCTGGCACATCATAGGTGTCTTTGAGAGCATTCATTTAGCCCTCTCGATCCTGTACGTAGAAGAACACCGGGACTTATAGAGGGTTAGGGGCTGGCTCACAACCACACAGATGGTAATATTTGCAATGCTCTGCAAGTCCTCTTTCAAATGGTTGCTGTCTGCAATTCTTAATGCCCAGGATGGCCGAAGCACCCACTTCCATAATCAGAGAAAAGTCCACCTTCCCAAAGATTGATGAGAAGGAAAGGTCTCAATAAGTGGGAAAGAATGGTGAGGTGTCATTCCCCTGAAAGCTCTCTGTTTGTTAATCCCATCTCTACTCATGATGCCCACCTGTGCAGGAAAAACTCAGTGCTTCTTCCTTTATCCTCACACCACTGACGACACCAGATGTGTGTGGGTTTCCCTACACCAGGCAATTTTTCCTCACACCAAGCTGGGTGTCCTACAATTCGGTTCAACTCTAACATTAACCAGAGTTAGCACAGACCCCACCGGTTAAGGGCTTAGTCCCATGAGACTGCCGCCCACTTCCGATGCCAACCACAAGAAGATCCCCAGGTTACCCGCAGCTTCTGTCCAACTTGGCTACAAATCAGAGGTTCTTATGACTTCCCTCCTTGGATCCAATCACTTGCTAGAGCAGCTCCCAGAAGTCAGGGAAACACTTACATTTACCAGTTTATTATTTAATAAAGGTTATAAGGATACAGATGA